GCAGTGGTTCTTAACCTTTTAGTGATGAGGGACCATTTATCAAAATTTTTGTCTTGCCATGGACCACGAGCTGTTTGGCAGTAATATAGGTTCTTATAAGGTTGTTCTATAAATTAAACACGTAGAAAATTATTCGGAACCAAGAGTATTATATTATTTGTGAAAGTGTTACATTAATTACATTCTTTTAGTGCGATTTTTGTGACTGCATACTGTTTACCAACTGCTGAGTTCTTGGTTCAGTGCTACTTAAAGGAAATGCATGTCGGCACTGGCATCCAACCAATTTTGATGTTTATTTTTAATTATCAAAAGCACTGAGAATCCTTGCTCGCATAAATGTGTGGTTGAAAAAATAATTAGGCACTGTAAAGCAGTTTCTCGAATTTTAGGGAAAGCAATAGCTTTTTGGCTCCAAAAATCTTTAAGATTAATTCCTGTCTCGAATGTATCCTTGCAGTTACTATCATGTTGCATTTCAATTAACTCTTCTTGTATTTCATCTGTCACCTCAGAAATGTTGACTATGAAAGGATTGCAAATCAGTTTCCGAATATCTTTGTCCTTGCAGTCAGGAAAATAGCGATTGAATTCATTTTTTCAAGCTTTGCAAATGGAATGTAATGTTCTTTTGTATTTGTCCTTCAATTTCAGCACTGTCAATCAATAATTGGGTTCAATGTATCAAACGCAGAAAAATTCTCTCTTTCGACCTTGCTGGTCCATAGGTCGATTTTACCAATAAATGCACTGATTTTATCTTCAAATGCAAATTTATTGCTAGTGACTTCCAGTTTCATATTTTCTGACCGCGCACCTTACCCCAGCCCAGTCCGCTATCGGCTCTAACCTTGACATACTGCGCATTGTCATCAACGCATCGTCATTTATTTAATAATTTTGGGATAACTTTTGCGGGCCACTTCGGATGCTTTCAGGGACCACAGGTTAAGAACCACTGTTATAGTGAAATAAATAGATGAAGCTGTTTTAGAACATAATTTTATTTTAATAGAGGCCAATCTAATAAACTTTTACCAAAGAATAAAAATGTAGCTGAAGAGCTGCAACACATCTGACTATAGTCCACTCATTACCATAAAAAATTAGTGAACCAAGAAGGCGTCGTCGGAATTGAACAAAATTGTACATGTGTGAGTGTAACAATGATGTAAGTGATTATAAAATGAAAGCAAAAGGATCATTTATTGCAGGAAATACTACAAATGAAAGGAGGTTCTTGTATCCTATTGGGCCACCTCTAGCATGAATACATGATGTAATATGGGAAGGCATGGAGGCATTCGGATGCCATAAGGTGTCCTGTGGCATCTCAGTTCATGGTTGCTGCAAGCAGTCCTCTACTTCAACCAAACTCCTAGGCTGTCCAACTTGGCATCCTGGGTGATCCCAGACATGTGTGATTGGGGACAGGAAAGCCAGGGAAATGTGGCATTTTGGCAAAGGCAGTCCTGTGACACCCTTGCCCTGTATGGTTGAGCATTGTCCTGTTGGAAAATGGCTCTTGGGAGCCCTACCAGAGAGGCAACATATGTGGCTGCAGGATGTTACTAACATACCACTGGGCTGTCATGTTTCCTTGGATCACTGCTAGAGGTGACTGGCTGTCATGATGGCATCCCAGACCATCACACCAGTTGTGGGGTGGTGTACTGCTACAAAGCATAGGCAGGATTGAGACATTCATCTTGGGCCTCCAGACACAAACATGGCTGTTGACAGTGCCAAAACTGAATCTGGATTCATTGCTGTAGACAACTCAGTTCCATTCCGTCCAATCCCATTGATAGCAACACCACTCCAAACTGAGGTGACAATGGTGGCACACATATTGGCTGTTGCAATAAAAATGTTCCTCATCCAGATATTCCAAAATGATACGGACAGACATGAGCCTGTAATGATGGTGCTACCTGTGTCTGAAATGGTGGACAACAATACGATTGGCTGTGCATTTGTTGGAAGACCAGGTGGTCCTTTCAGATAGTGGTCTGCCAAGGGCATCTTGGACCTGGTTGCCATAAGTGCAAACTCTCTCTCGTCTATTGGTCCCAACACCACCTCACAGTGTTGTCAGAACAGCCTAGGCAGACTGGCAAGATGACCATCCAGCATTTCTCAACCTGGTGATCCTTTCTTTCTCAAGCTTTGTTAGTTTTTCGCATGGTCTTCAATTGCAAAGTAAAGTCATCTCTAGTGATACAGCATGCCTCTGCAACAGCTAAATTACAGACAGGATGCCTTTGCATGCTTTTTTTTATAAGTCAAGAGGGTGGTGCACTTTAACACCCTCTGTTGACATTACACAATGAGCCATCATGCTATAACTCTAATCATTTCCTTATCTGCATGCCAAGTTTTGCAGCAAAACAACAACTGCTTATTAGTGTGCTAATTTTTATGGCAATGAGTATAATTTGCACGCCACTTCAAGTTAGCTAGACCTAGTATATACCAGTTTATTCTATTAAATTATATGGTTTACTAGATTAATTAAAAAATTGTAACTTCCATAAAATGCAAGGTTTGGTCATTTAATTTACAGAATTATTCTCATATTTTTTCTCCTGTGAAATTTCCTTTGCCAACATCTTAGAGGTCACCTGACATTACAGTAAAAGCTTATTAACCTATCCCGTGTTGAATTTTTGTCAATGTTAAGCCTAATGAAAATTATACGTTTTTGAAAAAAATAATTGTATTGTCTGAAATTATTTTTTTATTTTGCACAAGCAAAATAGAAATATTAACCTGTCCTGTGTTATTCCCAACAATTCTTGGGGTCATGACTTCTGAACTCGAGTGTTTGACGTGAGATATCTTGTTACAGTATCAGTACGTTTTTGGAACTAGATGATGCTGAAATGAGATATCTCGGGAATACCAAGGACTAGGTTAAGCCATTTGCTGGTGCATCAGTTGTGGCCGAGACTGATGCATACCGGAATGCACCCATTGAGACAATGGTGTAATGCAATAAGTCAATTGTGTATATAATTTTAAAAATAATGTGATATTTGAATTATTTTATTAAGATAATGTGTTTTTATCAAGTTTTTGTACAATAATTGAGCATTTTATATAAAAAATTGGCAAGCCTTTGTTTTTGTAGTTGTTAAATTAAAATTTAATACATTTATTAGATCATACAAAAAAAAGGAATTTTCAATTATTTTATATATAAAATATTTTTGAAAAATATTTTTTAAACAAATAATAATAATTTTGTGATTCAAGATGGAAGAGGAAATTACGAATCATATACAAATCCTGCTGGTGCAGTTAGCAGTTATGGAAAAGATTATGGTCCCGGTATGTTTCGATTTTCATTCTTTTGACTAATATAATTATTATTATTTTCTAATAATTAAAAATTTACTTAAATCTCTATTAATAACAATTTAAAAATTTCAAAGAAACAAAACACCATCCATTGCCTTATTTATGAATTCTATCATTTTCAATATTTGCATAGAATGGACTAAAATTACATCATTGATAAACAGTGTTTAACAGTTAACACTGATATTAGTACATTGCATTTATGCTGGATATTATATTATATTATATATAGGAAAAAACAGTCCAAAAAAAATTCCCTTAATATAAAAATAACATTACTTAAAGGGGATCTTATAAATACTTTAAGAATTTGAACTTGGACTCAAAAATAAAGAAAATATTCTGAGTGTTTAAATCATGAATTTAAAATTTCGAGTTATGTTTTGACAATGTATATATACATAATCTTTATAATCCAGCCAAATTTAAGACAAATGTCTTGTTAAATTGACTTCAGTATCATTTTTTATAAATGAAAAATGATTTTGCTATAATATTTTTGAATTCATTACAAAAAAATAATTTTTTGGTGATTCAATTAATTTATTATAAAATCTGTCCACAAAATCCCTACTCACTGCAGTTTGAATGCTTGATTTATTAAAATAAAATATATAATAATAAAGATTATGGCTGAAGAAAGCTTATTTGCCATAATGCAAACAATATTCACTGTACTGGAAAAGATTTCTACAATTATCTATGAATTTAAAATTAAATAAAATAAAACTTTTGCATAGTGTTCAAATGAACAATATAAAACCATTCAATAAATGCTAAGCTTAAATACTTTTAGAAATAAATATATACAAAAGATTTTAACTAACTAAGGTCATTTTTTCCAACTATTGCCATTAAATTATTAATTATATTTTAATAAATTATAAAAAAATGTTATATGGTCTACTCTTAACTAAAATAATTTTACTATGATCTAATTCATAATTTATTTCATAGATTTATTTATAACCAAATAATACAATAAAAACATTGATTAACAAGCTCTTTATCACAAGTATCCAAAAAAAAAAAAAAAAATACTATGTGAACTAGTATTGATGATAATTATTTATAACTGTTGAGTGAAATTACTACTACTAAAATAAGGGGTTAAAAGGTTTAATTGTAATGGCTATGAAAACCTGAGAGCTAGACAAAATTATGGATGCCTCATTTTGTTTAACTTGTTGTCTATTAAAAGTTTATTCTACCTGAAGTTGTAAATAGTTTTATCTCTAAGATGGTTCTGTTAATACTCCTTTATTTTGACTTTTAACCGTCTATGATTCATAGGATTTGAAATGATTCTAATTCCTGTATAAAAGTAGAATTTATAAATGCCAAATTGCAGCTATAACCAGTCAGTCAAAACAGTTAAGGTGTTACCCACCACTCTGGTAGATCCAAGATTGAATGTAGGTGGTAAAATATTCCCAGGAGTTTTGGGTGGGGTGGTCTGTCCCTCGTCACCCCATTATCCCAGTGTGAGCCTGGCCGAATCTACAGTTGGATTGAAAAAGGCCCTCTTGCTGCCCACGAGATAGAGAGTTTAAAAAAAGGGACAGATTTTCTAAGTGTTGGAAAAAATTTTGTTTGTTCTTAACTAAAGAATGTGATGTATGTATATTAGTATCAGGCTTACAGAAGTTAGTGCTATTTTTTTTTAGATACAGTAGTTTAGCTGAAACAGCATTCCTGATAAAGTGAACATTTTTAACTTCAGCATTTTTTCATCAAAAGAAGAAAAACTCTTTTGATTAAACTTTCAAATGATACTATTTTGTACCTGAAAATATCAATAGATTTGACATGCACATAAGAATGGAAGATCTACTGTAAACAAGATGCTTATCAGGAAACTAAATCATAACTGTTGTCTGTCTGATCAATATCTAGTGATAAGTCTTCTATACTTGAATTTTTCCCCCATAAAGTCTATGTAATTATCTCATGTCTTTCATTATATTAAAAGGACATCTATATATTGTAGGTAGGACACACTAAAAACAACAGGTAAAATTTAGCAGATTTTCCTACTATCCAATAATCATCTGTATCATTTGTTTATGTATTCCACCTTCAAAGTGAGATAAGTGAATTACTGTATGCAAGAAGTTAATTTTAGGTTCAAATAAAAAGTTTGTTTATTCTGTTTGGGAAATATATTCATAAACTTTTGAACATAAATAATTTAGTATAAAAAAAAGAATGTGCAGTATAATTTGAAATAATAAGATTTGCTATTTAGTACAGTGATCTCCAGCATTCAATTTTGAGCATTATAAAATTTGTTTGTGAACTCTAAATAATTTTGCTTTACATATTTGCTTGTACACAAAAAAAATAGTATGAAGATAACATTTGATATTAAAGCATTTCAAATGCTTAATATCAAGCAAAATTTATTATCATTTATTAAGAATTTTAATGTAAAAGTATACTTTTGAAATTAAATCTTTCAAACCAGAAGGTTATTTAAAAAGTTATTGTTTTTTGACTGCCTCAACTTCATTTATTCATGTTTATACAAAATATTTTTAGTAATATTAAAACCATAAAAATGAATTAAATGAATAATTATGAATTAAATCATAGCATATTAAAATATTATTATGATTTTTTTTTACTTTTGCTGTTTTAATTGTTGGAAAATTTGACACAATTGTGAAAATTCTTAAAGAGTGTTTTAGTATATTACACACTAAAAAAGTTAATTGTAAATTTGAAATTTTATTCATGATAAACTTTAAAAAATATACTATTTATGAATTTTTTAATTGCAATTGTTTCATGATTATATAAGAACAAAATTTATAAAATTTACAAATCATTTGAAAACCCAAAATTGACTGCCTTGAAATTAAAATATGAAGCTTGACATAAATTGCTAATTATTGCTTTTGCCCAATCATGATATTTACAGGTGGTTCCAGGCCTGGTAGTGATGATCGTTACGGTTATGACAGCTATGGAGGCATGCCCTCCTACAACCAATCACGCGATAATTACGGTGGTTCGACCACGGGCTACGGCCCTCCCCGCGGGGGCGGAGTTCCACCTCCGCGACATTACTAGCTCGAGAAAGGAAGCGCCAACTGTCATTTACACAGGTTAATATTTACGAGACGTAATTAGATTCGTTTAACTGTCCAATTTTTGTAGGAATACTTGTATCAGTGATTATGATTGACATTTCATGTTTCGAAAATGTACAGATTCACACAAAAGCTTTTTAAATCATTATACCGAAAATCTATAGAATATGACCGATAAATAATCACAGCCCTTCATCATCCATTTTGAACTCATAATTATTCATGTATTTGGGTAATTGTTTAATGTATTGTTCTTTGCTGTATATAGGTATCATGTTATAAAAAAAATCATTTCATTTTTAAAACAACCTCATTGTAACAAGCTATTAGTGAAGAGCTTTTGTAATGTGATGCGTTGGGTGACGTTTCTTTACATAGCCGAGTATTTAACCATCAACCGATCATTTTCACTGAATTTATCAAATGTACGTGAATTTTTATTGTGAAACTATAGTTAATATTTCTGTATTTGCAGTAAGTTGGTGCATAAATATGGTTGTTTTATCTGAATTATTGCTTAAATAAAATAAAAGATTTTAAACTAAATATATTTTGAGAGAGGTAATAAAATTATTTAAAACATAATTAGTTCAATACATCAACATACATGCTTCGTAATCCCTTAAATATTGGAAAACCTGATTGGTAAACGAGATGCACATCGTAGCGTAATCATTGCAATTGAAAATAAAAGTTGATCAGAAAAGTTATAACAAATATTCAAGAAGTGAGTTTTTGTTCTAATGATTATTTCTAAATATATAATTGTTCTCATTCACATTTATATTTGCATATAATTCATTTGGCCCAAAATAATGTGACGAAATATTGCCCCATTGTTGGATTTCTTACGGGATATTTATAGGCCATAAATTAGTCATTTCAAAATTTGGATCAAATCGCCGTCTTGTCAGAATTTTAGTAGCTATGATTAATTTTAGAAGAAAGAAAAGTTGTTGAAGGAGGATTTGAACTCGCACAAACTTGTGGGTGGATTATTAAGTTACTAATAGAGACGCCCAATTAGTTTTCACTTCCAAAAATATATATGTATATTGTATTTGCCAGCTATAACACTCACTTTTATCCAAAATAACAATTTATGAAAATTGGGTGCATTTTATATGCTGGCAAATATGATAATTCAGAATTATAAAATGCAATGATATCTTGATCCATTATTTCGTGGCACTGCCATAGAGGATTTATAAATTATAACTATTTTACAGTTTGTAAATAACCCGGAAGAAATTTAAGAATGTTTAGTTTGTTGACTTAACATTATTCATTAATTTTCCAATAGCATCGATGTTAAAAAGTTATTCTATATATTGCCTCTCTTAACATTTAATATACTGTATAAAAGATTTTTTTTTAAATTACTTAAGAAACTGTTTTAAAAATGATCCCAGTCAATCTCTTAATTTATATTTTTTTATATCATTATATATAAAGATTTTTCAGACGTGATAAACTTCAATATTTTTCAACAAAAATTCGTTCAGAAATTAAAACATTTTTTTGCTACTTTAAATGATTAAAATTTAATTTTTAAGCAGGCGTTTAAGAAAACTTTTAATGTTAATAAGCAATAAGAACAAGTATTCCCTAATTGCAAAATAATGAGAAAGGTTCATTAAATTAAGACGAAAATAAAAATATTTCAAATTATATCTCGAATGAATATTATATTTAATCATTGTAAATTTATAACTACAATAATATGAAATAAAACAGAAAAGTCCTTTTCTTTGAAATGTTTTAAAGGGAAAAAATAAAAGAAATCATCACACAAATCGGTAAATATGTAACGAGTATTTAAGTGAATAATAAACTATTTGTAAACTTACTTTAAATGAAGGAAAATTATCTCATATAAAATATTAGCCAATGTCAAATATATTCAATGGTATTTTCATGAATTCTGATATCAAAATTAAAAGTATTAGTACATTAAGCTCAATAGTAAATATAGAAGACAGGTCAAATTATATGCACTCATTTAATTTCTTTTCACTTAGACTGATTGCAACAGTAAAATAATGGATATTTCTTTAAGCATCTGTAAGCCTTTATTAAACATCGAGAACAGAAGTTTAAACCAAAATTTCCAGCAGGTAGAAACATATGTGAGTGGGAAGCATGGAACTCACTTTAAAGGGAAAAATTAATTATGTACAATGTATAAGATCAATTAAATATTATCGTGTAATAAAATTGATAAAAATAAAAATTATTATTACAGAGAATTATGCAAGCTCGTACGGTGTGACAGCCATGCCATGTATTTATACAAGGCATGTATAAAAATATGGAACACGTAAAAACGTTTATAGAATTATTTAAATATGTATTCCATTTTGTATTAGATCTTTATAAACAGTAAGAGCGTATTCTAATGCTAATTTCTCAATATCTTAGTATTTTTAGCTGTATACTTTAGTCTAACCAAAACTGTCTTTGGTTATTGCTAAAATTTATTGCTAAAAATTAATTTGTCAAACTTAAATCTTTCTTAATAATCAACTTTGTCGGCACACAAATAAGTTCGATGGCATTTTGCTCTAAGAAAATATAAGTTACAAAGTACTGTTTAAAGTAGAAGAATTGCATTTAAACATCAAAACAAAAGAGAAAGGCAAAATATAATCTTGGATCAGCATTTCTTAATATTTTGTATTTCTTGGACCCCTAGTAATTATGAGAAGCTGGTTGAAAGTCAGAATTATTTTTTGAATGACCAACCAAAAATAAAAAGTCTGTATTTATTTTTTTTTTTTTTTTTTGCGATTTCAGTGGTTTTGTTTGGCAAAAGTCCTTCTCACACTGGCTTTTGTTTGAGTTCCAAACTGACTCGGGCAAATCCCAACAATTAATAATAATTAGTTTACTTGAAAGTTTTGTTTATCAACGGCGTCGCTTATTTGAAGATTGTCGAATCATCTTTGACATTTTCTGTATTTTTACATTTAAGATATGGCTGGCAATCCATTTTCTAAATACAAATTCCTGTACGAAACAGTCAAATATGTGAATATGAAAATTCACATAAACAAGTGTTCGTGGGTAGAATCAGAAAAACCTCACAAATTCCTTTTGAGTGTATCTGATGATTTCTGGCGGTCGGTCACTGTTGGTGGAATATGCGCACTTTGAGTCATGAGCCCATGTTTAAATCACTGGCACGTTTGTTTAGTATTTGATTAATTTTCATAAAATTAGCCAAAAAAAATCCTAAGATGATAAACTGTAGTGTGTGTATTTACTCTATTTTTAATGTGTACAGATATATAGTTTTTAAAATTAAAATATATTTCACTTACTTGTTTACTCAAGTTAATACCGTAAGGTAAACAAGTATCATCCCTCGATTAACAAAGGCCCATTTAAAAGCGTAAGGTAAGACACAAAACAATACGTAACAATAACAAAGATAAATGTATAATGAAAGTAAAAGTACCTAATGTAAGAAAAGTTTTATTTATTTGACCAAATTAATAAATTTAAAAAATTACTAAAATTATTAAAGAAAAATTGGCAAATTCAAAAATCACAAGTTTGTCTTCCAAATTTGAATAATATTGTTAAATACCAAGTTTAAATCTGTCGTGCAGATTGGATTCTTTCTCTCGTCAAGTAACTATTCTTATCATAGTTTATCATAAATTCAAGCATTCAGCTATTAGAAAATTCTCTTGTGACAAACTGGAAAGTTCGGTTGCAATTCTCTGTAAAAATGTACGGTGGCAAACTCGTAAACTTGTCCTTAGCTCAGTAATTTTACGACCATTTGAGTTAATGACAAATATAGTTAATAGAACAGTGTCTAATTTGACTGCAATTTCTTACTATACTACACTTTTGCTACAACTTTAGTTATTAATGCTTGCCATAGTTGATTAGCCTAACTTAAGATGTGATTTTTCCCCATTATATTTGTATCAGTGACGTTTTGTTTTATCTTCGGCTGTTTACTAAGGCTTGGGTGGGTATAGGTTTTTATTACAATTGTTTCTATTCCTCAATAATTCATTGTGCAGCCATGCGCATGCAATTATTTTTCTTTCAAAAGTTGTATTTTTAATGACAATTTGAATCTATGCACGATGGAGAAAAGATGAATTTGTTCTACAAGAGTTTGCTTTTTTAGTCATTAGTTTGATGCAAATGTCTGCAGGACTTGTGAATAGAGTGTAATGCTCTAACTTCACAGAAAATGGTTGCAGATATATAGTTTAGGTGTTGTTGGAAAGGGAATTGAAAAATGAAGAGAATTTTTTTCAAAGAGCAAATTGTTTTGTACATATTGCAGTTTAAACTTTATATAAATACTCTGGCAGCAGGTGATATGTTGTGCTTGGCAGTCATTAGTGCATGTTGCAGTAATTAATTAAGACAGAGCAATAAGAAATTGCAAATTTTTGTGGACTGATTAACAACTTAATAAGAAAAATTTTTACTGTATAATTTTAATCAGTGAAGCTTTCAGAATATCCTAAAGATGTGTATCCAGGAGCAAATCTTGGAGGTGATTTTTTTTTAATTTGTGTAAAGAAATAAATAGTATAAAAGTTTTATCACTCTAATATTAAATTATAACCATTATTTTAAAGAAATAATGAACTCCTGTTAGCAATAAAAAATCTTTTGAGTGTGATTATTGTCTTTTTAGATCTGCCTGTACTAACTTAAGTTAGAATTGCAACATTGAACAAATAATTTTTAGCTATATTTACTTTGTTTGGCTTATGATTTCTATTGCTTAATAATATATTAATGGTATATTTTCAAAGGAGTTATGATTTGAACATTAAGATAGAAGTAATTACTATTAATTCTGTATTTCTGAAATTACGGTGACTGTTTTCCTTCTCTTCTGTTCATTTTTATCTACATATGCAATCTTAATATTCTAAAACACTTCAACAAATTATTAGTAATTTGTAATTGTAATGGCAATTAAGATTCAGTTGGCTGCTTGGTTAAGGTACTGTTTAATTGTGACAGGAGAATTCAGGTTAAAATCCACTCTGAAACAGTGAGAATTCAATATCATTCTCTATGCTGCTTGACTAAATTATAAAGCATGTCTGTAATGAGTGTAATTGTCAGTAGTTCATGTAGACAAATTGGTTATGGTCGTATTTGCAACCAAAGGGTCGAGATTTAGAAGCCGACCGATTACCGTTTGCTTTACTTTTAGTACATGAAGCTTATCAGTTTGCTTCCGACTCGCGATTCTCGGTTGCAAATAAGGACGTTAATCTGTCGATTAATATTACGTACATTTGCATTTATCTTTTATTGATCGAGCAATAAATTTAGAATAATTTCGTGTTCAATATAACAGAATGGATTATAAAAATTATAGCTTTGGAAGTAGTAGTTTTTCATCTTGCTTGTAGCCGTAACATTATCTTCCAATAGATAACGTGCATGTATCAATAGAAGTATCTGTCGCTTATTGAAGCTTGCTGTAGTTACTGTAGTACTATCGCTTACTGTAGTTACCACTTACAATGCTACCCCATACACTGTGTTAATAA